ACAAGCGTCATTAAAAGCGTCAATAATATTAAAAATTTTTATTCATGATGATCCCTGCGATTCGTAGAATAATACAAAACCATTAGTTAGATATAATTCATTAATAAGGTGGATCGTGAATCATGCAGGAGCATATATAAACTTCATTCCACGAAGCGGACCTCTGTATTTAAATGTTTCAGCTCCGATAAATAACATTAGATCGTCGTTATATATTAGTGAATCGTGTTAGATCGACCACCTTGATATCCTCGAGAAGGTTTGGGTTCCGGTGGCGCTGGGGCCAAGCGCCAAGTCATTGGTCGTCTGAAGGCCGCAGATGTGGAGTACTACATGTTCGCGTTTATCGCAAAGCCGGACCAGGGCAAAGTCTTCGACGCGACCCCTCGCTATGGGGCGAGCTATCGCTCCATGCGGACAGGTCAGTAAATCTGTTTAGCCTATTGGCGCTTTGTGTACCGCGCGCGCATCGACGTGCTTCACTTAAACGTTGCGCGTCGATATGGCGACGGTGACCGGAGATGCCGGCGATACGGGTACCAGTCAGAGATGTTGCCCCACGTGATCTGTCACTGAGGACACCCACGCGGTTGCTCGGCAGTTACACCACAACGTAATTGTCGCGAGACTTGCCGCAGCTTCCAATATCGCCGGAGAATGCGGGTGAACAAGTGTGTACCGGACGTCAGCGGAGACCTTGCGCCTCTGCCTCCCGACATTGTCGTGTCGCACGTGCTGTAGAGGACTGTCGTCATTATGGATGTGACCGTGCCCTTCGAAAATATCTTCGAGGCACTCGAGAAAGCGAGGATCGTAAATATCGCGATGTACCAGCCCCTCGCGGACGCGTTGGCATGGTTACATTGTACATGCCGACGGCTTCGTCTAGGTGCCTGGAACTCGCATAACGAGCATGTTAACACGTTTTTGCGGATCTCGTCAAGGTACGCTGCCTTGATGAGAAAACTGGTGATGTCGGAGACGATTTCGTTTTCCCAGGACACGTACGTCGAGCATGTCTGGGACAACCGAAAGTACATCGTGCTGGAGCTAGCCGCGCAATACATGACGCCCACCTCGATCACGCGATAGAGAAATCTTCGACGCAACGAGAGTGTAGTTTCCTTCAGACAATTGGCAAGTAATAACCAACAAATTCAACTGACGCACGGCGGGTACTGGAATATCCACTGTCTTTCTTTTCATATACCTCTGCATCTTCACTCATGCATCAAAATTGACTTGCATCTTGCCAGCCACTTCTGCAATACAATAGATAACAAGGCCTTTGTAAGATTCTTAAAACTTCAATGCTATAGCAGCTTCCATAGGTTTAATGATCCACTCCCCGCCGACGCGGTTAATCTGAGTGTGTGGCAACGAAAGGAATTTTTCCTTCATCACGTTCGCAGATATCACAAAGTCGTGCTCAGGTATTAAGTCGGTTTCATCTAACCAATACTTTTGACTCTAACCAATACCCATTGTCGTTTCTTTTATTTTGTATTTTATCTTTGTATCATGTATTTTACCTTTGTTCCACATTTTGATTTTTGTTTATTTTCGTTATTTTGTTTTTATACTTATTCTTCTTTTATTTCTATCCTCATTTTCACTATATTTTGTTAATTTGTGATTTAAGTTCAAAGGCATGCTGACCCGCGCCAATCGTTTTGTTATATCTTTGCTGGTTATATCTTTGCCACCGGAGTATATTCTCAGCGTAATGCCGCTGGTTCTGTAATTCTCTGCATGTTTGCATGGCCCTCAGGGCAACTGTGTGTGTTTGAGTGGGTGGTAAGTTGGAGACCCGTGCGAGAATACTTCCAGCTCTGCATTTTTCTGAGATTTTCTATTTTATCGTGCCCTGTGGGCAGATTTGTCAGCTTTTCTTTGTATCATCGCTCGGGAGAAACATTGCTTGCCTAAATAAAGTCCTATTAGATTGGTCGTTATATATTAATGAACTGTGTATATAGTGATCGCAGCGATGCGTATCTTGTATAAGACTATCAAAATCAAAATAATGTTTTTATAGGGAGAATTTGAGTATTTTAAAGGAGCATATGTATACACGACCAAGAACAGCGGAATATTTCCGAGAGTATAAATAGTATGAGATCGTCGTTATATATTTTACAAAAAATTGTGTTCAGAGTGATCCCCGCGATCCGCAGAATTATATAATACTGTCAGGTCGAGATAACGTATTGATATTATGAATGTCGAAAACTTTCAAGGAGTATATGTAATCCACATTCTACGAACTGCAAAGCGTAGAATAATATAAAACAATCAAATCAAGATACGATAATTGTCGAGAAATTTCAAAGAGCATAGTAAACATCATTCCACGTTCTGAAACAACGGAAAATTTAGGGTCGAAAGATAGTGTGAAATCGTATATATTAAGTAATTGTGATCATAGTTATCTCCGCGATTAATAGGATAATTTCAGGACAGATGGATATGATATATTGACAGAATGAATCTCGGAAACTTTGAATTGTCACATGTAATCTACGAACCGTACCTGGAGACCGTAATAATTCAATGTCTATAAATAACATTATATCCTTATACATAAAAAATTGTGCTCATAGTGTTTTCCGCTATGCGTAATAAATATCGTAAATAATACAACATATCTTGTAAATAATTCAAGACCATCAGATGGTTATGATATGCTGACAGAATGAATGTCGAAAACTTTGAGAAAACATCATATCACCGAAATTTACTGGAGGACCGCAGTACATCGGGGTTGATAAATGACATTAGATCGTTGTTATATATTCAAAAAATTGTATCCATATTGAGCCCCGCGTTACGTAGAATTAAATAAGGACAACACATCAAGGTAATATATTGATACTGTTAGTGTCGAGAGATTTCATGTTGCATATGAACACCTTCTACAATGAAGCGAAACACCATAATATTTCAGAGTTGATAAATGATATTAGATCGTCGTGTCGAAGTAATTTCCGCGATGCGTAGAGTAGTACAAGACCATCAGATCGATATCAGGTGTTGGCCGAATTAATGTTGAAAATTTTGAAAAGTCACATGTAAACCCCAAACCGTACCGGAGGATCGTATTATTTGAGGGTTGATAAATAATATTGATGTTTATATACAAAAAATTGATGCTTAATGGACCATGTGATGCGTAGAATAAATGCAAGTTCGTAAAATCGATATGATATGCTGACAGAATGAATGTGGGTAGCTTTGAAATGTTATACGGAAACCTTATTACACGTAACGGAAATCCGTAAAATTCAGGTTCGGTAAATAATATTAAATGATTTTCTCTTCCAAAATTTCATGTTCATTGTGAAACCCGCGTTGCGGAGGATAATATAGAAGTATGAAAACGACGTGAAATATAGAGAGAATACATTTGGAAATTTTTAAATGGTAATATCTCTCTCATTACACGTACCGGGACTCCGTAATGTTTCAGGAATATAAATAATATTAAAAAATATTTATGCACAAAGTTATGATGTTCATTGCAACACATGCGATGCGTGGATTAATATAAGAACATAAAATCGATATGATATACTGGTATAATGATTGTGGAAAATTTTGAATGGATATCACCATCATGCTTAATGCTCGATAAAAAACGTTAGATAATATGTATGTTCAAAGATGTTGTGTTCATTGTTAACCCCGCGACGCATAGAATAATATATGACAACAAATACGATATTGACAGAATGAATTTGGAAAACTTTGATGGGGAAGTATAATCTTCATACACGTAACGGGAATCCGTAGCTTCCGCCCTACTAAATAATATCACTTATTATTGTGAGCACGAAAAATGGTTTTCATTGTGAACCCAACGACGCGTAGAATTATATAAGAGTACGAAATCGATGTGATCAGATGTTGACAGATAGAGTGCGGAAAATTTTGAATGGTAATTGTAAACTTCCTTCGCCGAACCGGATCTTCGTCATGTTCCCGTTAAATAACATTAGATGATACCTATGCTCTAAAAAATAGTGTTCAATGGGAATCCAGCAATGCGTAGAATAATATAACACCTTGAATCAGATATGATATATTTCCAGAATTAAGGTTGAAAATTTTGAATTTCAGGCTGGACGGAAAATATTAGATGACATTTATGTGCAAAACAATTGTGTTTATTATGAAATCCGCGATGCAAAAACAATATAAGACAATAAAATCGTTATGATATATTGACAGAAACAATATGGAAGGTTTCGGATTTTCAAGTGTAATTCCACGTAACAAAACACCGCAATACTTCAGACTCAATAAATAATATTGGTTGCTACTTATGATCAGAAAGATAGTGACAATTGCAAACTCCGCCATACGTGGAGAAATATACGATTATAAAATCGATGTATCAAGCTAATGTATCAAGATCGACAAATAATATTTAGATGACATTTATGTATTAAGAAATTGTGTCCATTGCGATCCCGCGACGTGCAGTAAAACATAAAACAACAAAATCGATATGATATACTGACGGAAGGAATGTGGAAAATTTTGGAGCGCCATATGTAAATCAAATTCCACATACCGAAAATCCGTAATAATTCAGGTAATAATATTAATAATATTAAATGTTAATAATATTAAATGTAATATATGTACACAAAGAAGATGTTCATTGTGAACCCCGCGATGCGTAGAATAATACAAAACGATAATATCGATATGACATATTGACAGAAAGAGTGTTAAAAATTGTGAATGGCTATATATATATATATATA